AGTTGCTATCTTGCAGGCAACTTTTTGTTAGATTTATGCTAATTAAAGAGACCGTTTAAGTTACCATTCTAAACATCCCAAATGATTTTCACAGTTTTGTCATCTAAAATTAACCAGCTTCTGAAAACCATATTCATATACAATACTGAAGAGTGAAGAGTTCCATTTGCAGGTTGCGAAGGTTCATGTGAAATGCTACATTGTGTTGTACTCTTAAATGTTCGCGTATTCGAAAAAATATAACATTGTATAAGCTTCAAATACTGTGTTGTTTTAGAGGATTATGTACAGTGTTCAAGAACCTAACTAAACTGTATATATTTATAATATCTTCACTTACCAAGTAAAATAAAGAAGGATAATGTACAATGTGAAGTGAGTATGGCACATGAATATCTATACATAATAAGGGTGAATCGTGGTAATTTATTGCTGACTGTTAAATTAGTTACTTTTGTTTTTGAGCATGCTCCTGAAGTTATTCTTTGTGTGGTTAGTTATCTGTCTTAATTACATTGAGTTTCTTGACACTCAGTTTTCTGGGATCAGGAATATGCTATCTTATATTTTACCAGCAATGTTGATGGGCTTGGCTGCTGGCATGTTATTACTCAAGGGGCTCAAGGAACAAGGACGGCTTGGAAGATATTTTGGAAAAGTAACCATACGTGATCAACCACCATCAAACACACTACAGAAAATTATTGCAGTTAAAGAGGCCTTGCGTGAAGTTGAAAAGTATCTGCAGAGCTTGAATGTGTCGCTGCTCAAAATTCGAGCAATTATTCTTGCTGGCCAACCTCAGGTACTTCCAATCTAACCCAGGTTGCACCATAAACTGGTCTCTTATCACTTTCAGTGGCCAAAGGATGAATTGAAAAATATTGCCACTGATAGGCTTAAGATGTGTGCTACTGACATGCATGCTAAGAACTGCTAAGAATAGCTTAGGAGTGTGATACTTCTTAATAGCCCCATCAAGAGTATATGCCTTAAATTATTTGATTCATGATAGCTACTTAGAAAAGATATTAGAACAAGTAAAGGAGATAGATTATGTGAACCCTCTCAATTCCCTCCTTAATAGCAGAGACATCAATCAATTGTTTCCCTCAAAAAAATTTGGTGGACAGTTGGGAACTACTTCTAGTATATATTATCAACGTCCTAGAGTGTGGTTGCTCAGGTGATGTATCTTTTCATTCTGAACAAAAATGCAAATTGCTCTTAATGTTCTCACTCCATCTCTGTAATGAAGTAAATATTGTCCTATTCAATTGATCTATTTAAATTGGTTCAAACCCAATAGGTAAAACTGTATGTGAATTTTTCCCTAAGCCGGTAGGCAGAGTTATCTACGGTGAGAGGTAGCAAAGACCAGTTGAGTTGTTGAGGTGTGCACATGCTAGCCTGCACACAACCGTTACCAAACAAAACAAAAGAAAAAATCTGTTTGCTAAATCTTTAACCCTTCTCTGTGGTTTTAGCATACTAATTAGTGAATACTCGAACTCTTAAGGTTCTTTTTTCTTTAAGACCATTTCATTCTTGATGGGCCTCAGTGAAAATACAGCTAGTCCCCTTGTCCAGATCCACTCATCATCACAAGAACCTTCCTCATCCCCCCAACCACTTGCTGCTCTATCCCTAGTGCTGACTACTCACAACTCCCATTGCCTAATTTAACGCCAATAACCCTCTCGTCATATCCCCCTCCTTACCCTCATTCTGCCAATATTTCCTCTTCCATCTTCTATTTTTGGAGGGACAACTAGAAAGACTAAGAGAAAGCTGTTAAGTTATAAACCCAAAATAAAAACTTTTTTCTTAAAAAGAAGAAGAAAGTAGGATCAATCGGTCATTAGACATTTATATTTATCTTAAGTATTTGACTAGATATGCAAGAAAGAAAAAATGGATGTTTAAACTTGATAAATGAGGGACCAAAATTGAGTTTTTGCACTATAAACTTGTTTGGGTCAATTCCTGCTCCCCCTCCCTGGTTTCAAACTTCATCACATTCGAGATCATGAACACTCAAAAAAGTTCACGAGCCCCTAACTTGCACCACACCTAACAATTAGTTCTTTTGAAAAAAAAAACAAAAAAAACAATTAGTTCTTTTGAAAATGTTCGATTATGTTGGATCTCTTTTAATTGTTTTAGGGGCTCAGTTGTGCATGTTTTGAGTTTGATGAGATTATGTCCCAACCGTTTCTCTGTGTATGGTCTACTTTGAGTAATTATTTTAGGGGCTCAATTAATTCTTAATGCTGACTCTGCTAGGTATGATTGCACCTCTGGATTGTAGTGTTAATTTTTTTCTAATACTCTATATTTGTTTTTACTTAATTGAGTTAATTTTCATAACCTTTGTCAGATTACGATGGAAGTCGCTCTGGTTCTACTATTTGGTGCAACCATTCTCTTAATTGTTCCATTCAAGTATATAGCTGCTTTCCTGATTTCTGATGCATTCACCCGAGAACTCGCGTTCCGAAGGCAAATGGTTTTGAGATTCATGAGCTTTCTGAAGGAGCGGTGGGAAACAGTGCCAGCCACCCCAGTTGTTGTACTACCATTCGAGGATGATGAGTCCGATGCACCAAACCAAAGAAAGGAGTCCATCAATGACGGAGTAAAATCAGAGAAACAGTTAAATCAGTAGGTTATTGTAAATTTTCTTTTAGGTAACTATCTTTTCTCTTTTTCCTTTTTTCTTTATAGTAGGTGGTTACAGCAGGTGTGACGGGTCGAAGATTGAAGCAGAAACAGTTTTTCCCCCTTAAAAACAGTATCATTTGGGTGGGATTTCGTAGTTTTGCCTCTTGGAACCTAATGTGATTGATTTTATATGATAAATAATATATATATCCGTCTAATAATTTCTCTTGGGAGTTTTTAATCCATGCATCATATCAAGAAAAATAGATAAAAATTCCTGACTGCTATTTAGTTGGCAATAGGTATCGTCTGCTAAGGAGGAAGAGCATAAGAATGTCTTGTTTTCGTCAATGGCCTTTTTAAGATTCGTTGGCTGAAGATGGCCTTTTTAGAAGTTGTTACCATAGAAGCCACTTCTTTCCTGTGATCTCATTACACTCTTTTCTTCTTCCTTTTTCTTTGTGGTGGTGGTGTGGGGGGTTGCTGGAATTTTATCACTTTCAAAGTATAAAAGAACAGTATCCCAGACATAAAGTTTTGCTGAGAATTAGAAGCTTATGCACTTTGGGTAAATGGCCAAATTTTGATGTTTTCACACTAGTGAACAAAATTTTAAAAGACAAGGAAATGCAATCAAAATCCTATATGAATGGGAAAAGTAAATGTACTATTTCTGTCAAAACATCAATCCTCCAAGACTTATCACTGTTGTCAATCCAACCATCAGTAAATGTCTTGTTTTAAAGAGCGACTTCAATCCATATGCTCCATTACAAGTCACATTCTTGCCATGATTTGTGCACTGTGTCTGGTTCTGGTTCCTGTTATCCAACACAGAGAATCTTAAATCAGCAAAAGAACATCCAAGTGTGTAGTCTAAAACCAAACAAGGGCAAAAAATGCTCGGTGATTTCTTCGATTTGTTCAAGTCTTGATGGACAGAGTTAGCCTATACTTGTGCTGGTGGAATAGTCAGAGTGCGCGCAAAATTGTGCAATTGAGAAGGATTAGAATTGTTTACCTTGAAGAACAAAATGACACAACATAGTCAGTAGAAGAGCAAGTGATGATACTAGTTGGGTCATCAAAGGCAAAGCTATAAGCCACAGGGCATGCTGTCTTGAAAATCCTTGAATAGTTTGTAGGCAAACATGAAACTGGACTACTAAATGTACCCCTGCAGCAATATTCATCGGTGTTGAAGACGTTACATGCGCTCCGGCAGGCGATTGTCTTGCCGTCCGACTTGAGAGCTAGCTCAGAAGAGCAATTTGGTCTGAGATCACTGTCACATCCAACAGAACTGCAGTTTCCTTTGCCATTTACAGGTTTCACTACTATAGGCAAGTTGAACCCATCCACAAGGCTAACATCGTAAAAATCAGTATCTCCAAGGGTAAATTCGGCAATTGAAGCTGGAGGCTGACCCGGTTCACGACATTTTAAGCCGGTCCCACACCCCCCGGTCTGGCACGTGCCGTTGTCATTCTTGTCAAAGTCACACCCGGTTCGACCCCATATACGGCCGCTCCACCCGGCCGGGGCAGTAAAGACGGCAGACTGGCCTTGTTTCAGCTCATAACCATCTCCACTGAAATTGTTCTTAGGTGTAATTCCAGGCCATACTGTCTCTACGCAGTAGTTTATAATGGTAATATTTGTACACTCGGACAATTTTACCCCTGTCACACTAAATTGTGTCAATATCCGGAAAAATAAAATTCTAAAAAAATTACAATATCAAATATACATAATTCAGGAGAGAAAATAAATACGATATTGAATCCTTCTATCTATGTGGTGAAGGGTTGAGGAGCTCACTTGGTGAGCTACCTCGCTAACTTCTTTCTATCTTATTAGAAAGCGAGCGAAAGAAGGAGAGAGAGTATATTGTGTTATACCTAAGGCAATAGCAAACAAGAGAAACCAAACATTGAAAGAGGAAGTGAAGTGAGAAGCCATGAATATGCAACACTACTAAGTAGTAGTAATTGTGAGTTAAAAAGAAGTGAAAGACAAGTGAGTATTTATATATGTATTTCAAGTTAGAGAAGAATACGTGCAGAAGAGAGTGAACATTAGAGGAATAAGGCTTCCTTTCTTCTTCCTTAAATCAGACGATTCCTTACCTCCGACCATTTTTTCCCACTGATGTGTTCCTTACAATTGTCTCTTGTACTATTTATATGCTTTTATATCCAAGATTATTATTATTAATATAATAATAAAAGTGTGTAAGAATCGTGATGGCTAAATTTTCTTTATTTATACAATGTATTACGAGAGAAGCTGATACCCATTAAAAAAAATATACTTAATAAATAAAGCAATAAACAAAAAGGTGAATTTTGCTAAATCTATTTCCATTCATTCAACAAAATAATGTTACAAACAAATTCAACTACTCTAAAATGAATAAGTAGTTTATGATCCTTCGATCTTGATTCGAGTTTAGGGAATAAAGAAACGTTTTACTCTTTTAATCCGAAAGCCAGTACGTATCTAGTGATCAATGATATGTCAAATTATTCAGTAATAGCGGAAGCTTAGTGCATTGGGCAATCACGACAGCTTATTCTTGTTTACATCTTTCCTCTTCTTTGCATAATTTTTGGAATGAAAATCAAGGAAGAGTGCCAAAAGGGAAGCATTGAAAACTGCATTGAAGCACCATCCATGGATCCCGGAGCAACCCGACCCGGTAAAGTGATGATAATACAGCATCAAACCCGAAATCAGGAAACTGAAGACGAATTGTACAATCTGACAGTTCGTTACCAATCTCTTCCACCATGGACGAAATCCCAAGGTACACAGGAAGTAATAAGCGTACATTAGCACATGAACAGAAGCATTGGTAACAAGCGCCACCGGAAACAGAGTCTGGGACGAAGAAAGCCACAAATAACACATGACTACCACCACGGCGTGGTGGTACACATGGAGGAACGACAGCCGTCTAGATCTAGACCCACTGAGAATTATCAAAAGGGTGTCTAGAAATTCAACAATCTTGGAGAAATAGAAGATGTAAGCCCAGAAGAATACGGGTCCACGTGGGGGAGTCTGATTAGCCGGGAAGCAAATGACCCAAGTCCAATCATTTTGGGGCATTTGGTGGAAGGCGGAGAGGGAGCATCCGACGGCCATGATTAGTGAGAGAATGAAGAGGAAGAGGTTGTGGACGGCGGAGATGAAGCGGAGGGAGGCGGGGGAGAGTGTGGGGAGAAGAGGGAAATAGTGGAAAGAGAAAGTGAGAGTGAGGTAAGTGAGGACAGTGAGAGCGAGGAAAAGAAGCGAAGAACCGAATGTGGAGGTTTCATTCCATTCGAAATTGGTGATGATTGGATGATTGACGAGCCAGTATTCAACGGTGGAGTAGAGAGTTTCCATTTCTGAATCCGTACGCCGGCGACAATGGAGGTTTATCTTTTATCTGTTTGATTGATAAAAGTGAGATGATAAGAAAGAGATTGGTCAACTCGGAAATTTGACTTGGCATCTATAAAAACACGTCATCCCTTCGGATAGATGCTTTTTATTATTTGGTCACTTTTATAGTACCTAACCTATATTACTTTAAACTCACTAAGGTTCTTTAAAATATTACTCTCTCCGCTAATTTTTATTTATCACAATTTAATTTAACACATTCATTAAAAAAATAATTATTAATATAAGTATTTTATCAAATTATCTCATCTAAATGGTGTCTTGAAAATAAGTATTTAATGTTGAGGATAAAACATGATTTTTTTTTAATCTTTTCTTGATATAAAGTGAAATTTTATTTAATAAATAAGTGACAAGTAAAACTGAATCGAGAGAGTATAGATAAGTAGAAGTAAATGGTGGGGGATTAATACTCTCTCTATCCAACAATACTTGTTCACTATTGACTTTGCACACTCCTTAAGAAACTATAAATAGAATGATAATTTTACTATATTATCCATTGAATATAATAAATACAATGTCTTAAAAAATGTAATAGAAAAATGACTACAATTAAGGATATGGTAAATTAGGAAATAAGTGTAAAATTATTTATTGATTCTATAAAGTGGACAACTATTGGATGAAGGGAGTAATTGATCATTCATTAAAATAATTAAAATTGTTTATTATTTTCTTCAAATAATTTTAGTTACTATTCTAGAAATTTAATTAAAATTATCGCTATTATTTTTTTATTAAATAATACTTTAAAATTGACTACAACTTTATTTCTTAAATCTATCTTTATTTGAACAAAATATTATTCACAATATTTAGAGAGAAAATGACATAAATAGTCTCTTTAACTATAGGAGTAGGTCTAAAATGGTCTCTTAATTATATACTTAATGGATTTAGTCCTTTAACTATTTAAAAACTTATCAGCTTTGGTCTCTTAACTATAAACTTATCGATTTTAGTCATTTAAGTATTCAAAAACATATCAGGTTTGATCTTTGTCCATTTTCTTAATACATATAGCGTAGGTTTATATTAATGGAATTCATGCCTCGAGAAATTAAATCCTTTAGCAATTTTTTCTATTGTTTCTCTCTCTCCGCTACTTTTTCTTCAAATTACCTCAATGATTTAAAATAAAATTCACGAGGAAAGAAAATATAAGTCATAATTTTATTCAACAGAGGATAAAATGAAGCATATTATTGCTACTAATGACTTGAGCTAAACTTTATTATAAAAAGAAAAAAACTATTACCCGTTAAATCCAAAGTTTGTACTCCACCGATTTCATTGAACGGAATTTGTTTAATTTTTTCAGAAAATTGAAATTTATAAAATGGTAGATTTGTAATTTTTTTAATTTTTTTTAAATAGATTCAATCTTATTATTCTATTCATTTTATTTTACGTATAGAAATTTGAGTAAATTAAATAAAATCCGCACTAATTAGCATATTCAAGTGCAGATTCAAGTCATTAACAACAATTATATGCTTAATTTTATTCTCCATTAAATAAAATTAGGACTTATATCTTCTTTCCTCATTAATTTTATTTTGAATCGTTGATGTATTGTTCTTTTTATAAGAGTAGTTTGAAGAAAAAAGGATGGGGATAGAGAAACAACTTAAAAAATGGGTTAAAGATTTAATTTCACAAAGATTTCCGTTAATATAAATCTAAGCTATTTGTATTTAAAAAATGGACAAAGACCAAACTTGATAAGTTTTTGAATACTTGAAGGACTAAAATCGATAAGTTTATAGTTAAGGGACTAAAACCGTTAAGTGTATAGTTAAGGGACCAAAGCTGATAAGTTTTTGAATAGTTGAAGGACTAAATCCGTTAAGTGTATAGTTAAGAGACTATTTTAAACCTACTCCTATAGTTAAGGGACTATTTATGTCATTTTCTCATATTTTAGACTTCAAGATCAATATTTTTATCTTATATAATTTTTTTACTTAAATTATGATAAATAAAATAAATGAAAGTATTAAAGAAAGAGGTTAATTGGATTGCTACATCTTTTTATAATAAACATCAACTTATAACATGATAAAACTAGGTATTATGATAATTCGAGCAGAAAATCTATCAAAAACAATCTCTACCTCCCACCAAGATATGGGTAAAGTTTATGTACAATTTACACTTTACAGACCTTATTTATGAAATTACACCAAATATGTTGTCATTGTCGTTGAATTTATAATAGTTATACTAAAAAGAGAAAAGGAAACAGAAGGCTCATCACATTCATTGGTGGGAAAAAAATGAAGGCTGCGCATTTGAATATTAAACAGAATAATAATAATAATACATATCAACTTCTTGCCAAAACATGCAAACCAGTTGCAACTTTTATGAAAATAGAAAGCTGCCTGAACATAGAGTTACCAATTCACTCCTGCTGTGGAAATTGCACATGGTTGGAATAGGAAAAGCATAAACAGAAAATGTGAAAATGACCTAAGTTGTTATCCCCTAGATCACTACTCAGGCAAGGTGATCCCTGCTCAACAATAAAAGAAAACATGATCCTCATAGAATGCCAAAAAGAAGAGTTGAAAGATAAAGAGTGTAGCCATGAAACTATAAGCATATGAAGATAACAAGATTGATCAGCAATGTACCTACCACCTAGCCACTGCAAACTTCAATATTTAGATCTTTATACTCATTTTACTAAAATCCAGTAAGGAATGAGAAGAAAAACCGAGAAGCAGCTTCCGCAGCGTCCCAAGTAAAATCACCTCCTGATGTAGTGGATCCAATGATCATAATTCAAACCTGCATCTCAGCTTCCTTTACTTGGCAATTGGTGCTTTAGACCAAAACTCCTCATCCAATTGGGTTTGGAAAAATTGAGCAGTATACAGTACTATTATCAACTACCTAGGCTCAACTTGCTACCTTTTTCCTGACTATTCTTTTTCTTCGAGCCTTAGGAGCTGATGTTTCACCCTCTGTCGTTGAGCCACTCTGACCTTGTTTGATACCCAAAAGCCCGAGCCCGGAAACAATGGAATTCTTGGAGATGAACCATTTTGAAGATGACTGCTCAACCCCTCCTTCAGTAGGCCTACTGTATGCCTTCAAGACATCATCTGAATGAGCCAGTGGATCCACCTCCACACCAAGCCAAGCTAATCTTGATGTCTCTCCTACTTGAACATTTAACGCTCTGCATACAATGAAATATTAGAGAACTGGAAAAGATCAAATCAATAAACACCAGTATGATTACTAGATCAATGATATTGCATAATATTTCCCAACCTCCAATCAAAGAAATTGCGTATAATTTCACCTAATCCTGGGATACAGGTGGTAAATTTTTCTATAAAGATAAAAAGTGTTCTTACAGACCCACAAAAAATATGAAAACCTGTGCAGTCATAAAGTACTGAAGCCGAAGAATTCAAAAGTTACTATAAACCTGACAGGAGAGCGAATAATAACAGAAATAGGAAAACATAACAAACTTTTACCGATAGAAGTAAAAGAGGAAAGGAAATTGAAACCGACAAAAAACAAACTAATTTGCCTGAGTAAACTACCGTGCAGCTAAGCATCTACTATGCAGCTAAATACCTCATGGCAGTGCTGAAGACGAGAGCCACCCCAATAACATCAAAGTAGTTAAAAACAGCTCTGTCAAATCCATTCAACAGCTGATAACGCAGGTTTGCATATACACCAAGGAAGGCCCCATATCCGAGTGCATTACTACTCACAGATGGGATAGACACTGATAACCTAGTGAATGGTAAACAGAAGCCATCAGTAATGGACATACCTTACATTTCCCTTACCTGAAAAATTAGATCCAAACAAAAGCCCAACTGTATAAATAAATGGTCAATAAGCCAAAAAATGCTGACCTTCCCTCCTTTTTACTGGCAAGAAGATTTGAAAGACCCCCCTGCACAGCTCCTGCACTGAGGCCAATCATACACAACTCTGCAGCCTTATAGAAAAAGGAATGAATTCTCTTCTGCAAATCAAATTCTCTTAAAGGGTAGCTCTTTTCAAAGATATTGTTCGGCAGCTTCTGTAATGTGTTCTGCAAATCGTAGCGGAAAGTATTCCCATAGGATTGACAAGGAGCAAGCGTCCAAAACACAGCAGCATTGCAAGCTGTTGCAGTTAGGACGTTAAGAAGAGCAAGATCCCACTCCTGCTTAATCCTAGATCAAAGTAAAATAGAACATGTGCGTTAAGTCAATCCTCTTATATTGTGTTTAACCAACAATTAACATTTATGAACAGAGTAAGGATGCAAAAAGTGTGGAAGAAAGCCAACCCCACCCCCACCCCCAAAAAAAAAAAAAAAGAACATTAAAAAAGATAATAACGAACATACCTTTCTTTACGATTTTTGACCTCCCACCACACTGAGCAACCAATTGTAAGTGCCTGATCCAGAAGCAGCTTGTTCAAAAAAGCTGGATCTGCAATCTTCCTGTCACAGAGAGAATCCAGAAAAATTAAGGCAACTGGAAATGCCACTTCAATATGAGGTAAAAAACTGAATACTTAAATACATTAGTTAGACAGCAAAACAATTGACAACAAAAATTTGAAAAGCTTAGATGACATAGACTAAGGTGTCAAACTGCCCCATGGATTTACAAAGCTTTCAACTTTGGGGCTGATATAGCCAGAGCAATGTTCATCCTGCAGAGTTTTATATCTTATATGTTCTGCTGGTGTGATTTGATCTTCATGGAAAATCGGCGCTGCCAATTCCCTTAAAGTTTTTGAAGGATACAACAAGACTGCTGCTCCTTCCAGCAGCAGATCAAACCCAAAAACTAAAAGTAAATGATCAATGCTGCCAACTCATCTCATTTCAAAATAAAAAAACCCATAACATTACCACATTTTGGCCACAGAAGTATGGAAAAAGAAATTTCCTTTTTCAGCTTTGCATTCTTAGTTGTTATTGCAGTGTAGCTGTTCCAATGAATGTTTGGGCCTAATGAGTAATAAATAATAATTCTTTCATGATCTTGAACAAGCGTGACAAGTCTTGGAAGATGAGTGCCCATAACAAGGCTTTAAATAAGTGAATGATTGACGAGCCAGTAGTTAATGGCAGAGTAGAGAGTTCCCATTTTTGCTGCCGAACACTGGCAACAATGGGGATGATGGAGCAGCTGAGACTGAGGTTACCTTATCTGTTTCGAAAATTGAGATAATAATAACGAGATAATGTTATAGAGGTGAGGGTATAGATGTCTTTTGGTATTATACGGCAACTTGGAAATCTGACTCTTGTTTCTTTTGGGGCAAGGGATGTGAGGCATCTAGCGACACATCATCCCTTCAAACAAATGGTTTCATTTTCCTTTTTCCTTTTTGCCAATTATGGTACCCAATGAAATTAGAAACAATCGAATTCAACCACCAACCAATTTTTCCAGTCTTCTTTTTCCTTTTCAATTTTTGTTCTATTTATCAATGGTAAAAATATTTATACAAGCTTTCAACTTTGTGGGAAGCTATAGCTGGAGCAACTTTCATTCTGAAGAGTTTTATATTTTATAGGGTTTGGTGGTGTGATTTGAATTCATGGAAAATTGGCACTATCAATATCCTACAAGTTTTTGAAAGATAAAACAAGACTGTTCCTACTTCTGCAGCAGATCAAACCCCAAAAACTCAAAAGTGATGATCAATGCTGCCAACTCATCTCATTTCAAAATAGCTCCATAATAAAACCAATTATGGCTGCAGAAGTATGGAAGAAGAAATTCCCTTTCCAGCTTTGCGTTCTTAGTTATTATTGCGGTGCAGCTGTTTTGATGGAATGTGTGGGGCTAATGAGTAAAAACCGCTCTGTTTCGCTAAAACAAAATACTTTCATGATCTGGAACAAGCCTAGGAAGATGAGTGCTCAAAAATGTCTGTGAAGCTAACACAATAATGATTTGAAGTAGTGACTGCAATGCTAAGAAACGTATTTGAAATTGAAGATGCAAGATACTAAAAGAAGATCTTAATTTTTTACTTTATAAGAACAACTGGAAATTAATTTAAACAGACAGAATAACTACTCTGCTCAGCAAATGATATTTCTGACATGCCACTACATACTGTATATCCAGCAGACAGAATTTTGTCCAAAATTTTTTCCCTGTGAGGAGTTTAGAGTACTGTAAGGGTGCTACATTACCTGCCGTTGAACGCCCTGGATAATCCTTGAGGAAGTAACCGAGAAATAAATCTAGCCACGGTAGGCCTAGCATTGTAAGCAAGAAAGTTCACCAATTGAGCAGAACTGACTAATCCCTGGATGAAAAGGCAGAAATTAAAGTCAGACATAGAAATAACCCGACCAAACGAGACAAGTTTGAGACAACTGCATAGCACAATTTACCATTTCATAGGCTTGCCGAAGTCCAGGTGGTAAATCCAGCATCGTCTTCTGCCACTCATTCAGCACGGCATCAACAAATTTACGATCAAACAACTGGGTAACATGGAAAAATTGTGAGTAACATGACACTGTTTGAACAAATCCAGAATTAAGCAGAAACAATTTTCCACTTGCAGAGGCCTCTTACTTCCTGCAGTAGCATTCGTCTCCTAAAGAGCCCACCCTCATCTCCTTCATCACCATCATCGAAATCATCAAAGTAATCGTCATCATCACCATCATCATCACCTCCATCACCACCGCCATGATTTAGATTTTTCCCCATATTTCCACCTCCTCCGCCAGTTGAAAGCTGTGATGTGGCGAAATTATAAGTAAATTTGCTCGACGAAGTGTTTACTAAATAGTCACACAACCACAAGGTTAACACTCTTAAGATCTTGAGAGAGAATACATAGTTGGATTAGAATGTAAATATCTTATATAGTAGCAGAAGCACCATTTCACATCATATATGCCGAACTAAAAGGTGCATTCAACTTTTTTTTTCCAACTTTTCCTTCATTGAAAAGGAAAGATACTAAAAACAGAATAAATAGCAACAAGATACCTTTGTAAAGACGCATACGCACGTCTCAAATCTCGTAAGCAACTTCAGAACTATGTATTCTCGGACACATATTGTCACTTTAGTGATACCAGACTCAGTTTAACACTTAGCATTTTAAGTGTTTGAGGTTTGTCATAGTTGGTCAGACCTTTGTCAGTCGATTGTAAATAGCAACAGGAACGCCTTACTGGTAGAAAAAACCTTCTTCTTGCTCCAAGAATAAAGAAAATGACAAATGACGAGCCTGAGACCAGGCAGGCAATTCCTAAAACTCTATACCAATCAATCAACTAAGCCTCATAACCCAAGCTAGTTGAGGAATCTGAAAAACTCTGGAATTTCCTAAATTTCAAATACTCGTATATTTTTAGATTAACTTCTACTTCAAAAGAACCTCACTGCCTCTTAACTGTAAGTCTTATTTCTTAGAAAGAGCCTTCTCAACTATCATTAGCAATCAGCAAGAACTATGATAAAATATTTGAGTATTAGCATAAATACACCACAAGGAGATAATTCTGAGACTGTTCCATTCAATTACCTAGGAAGCTATTGAAGAAAGCGCTTCAAGTTTTCCAGAGTAAAGGAAAACAAGAACTAACCTCGGGAGTAGAGCTGGTCTGCTGCTTCGATGACATATCAAGCTTCCCTTTTTCCAAAGTAACCGAACCAAGCGCACCATATTTTCCCCCCTTCATCACCGGCGCAAACATGACCGTAGAAGACGACGAAGACGCCGGATGATCAAGCGCAGGTGACCCTTGAAAGCAACGTTCCAAACCAGAAACTGGGTCTCCATCGACCGCCGGCGACGCTGTGGCCTTGATTTTACAAACTTTGTAGACTCTAATTGGGCGACAGAGCAAAGGGGGAAACAAGGGTTTTGAGTAAGGAATGATTTGGGTATTGATAGGCTTGATTTGTGCTGTTTGGAATACTGGTAGAGACATTCTTGATTTTTCTTTTTTTGGGGCGTTTTGGATAGAAAGAATGAAACTTTATGGATAGATTTTCATGGGGGGTAATGGAGGAATGGAAAGTGGGAGTAGAGATTGCAGAAGTTGAAGAAGAAAGAAGGAAAGGTTGAGAGAGGAGTTGAGGTTTAGAAGAAGATGAAGATGAAGGAGAAATAGGTAAAGACAAACCCAATCCAGAGCTGCCACTTGCTTTTTCCTCTAAACCCCCTAACTCAAAAATGCTCTACTAATAAATCACTTGTTAATAACTACTCCCATCTCTCAAAATTGATGTGACAAGGCTTATTTTCAATTTGTTAGCCTTCATTTTTAGTCTGTTTTTAAATTATTGATGTGTGACATTATGTAATAATGGAAAATGATATAGTAATTTATTTAAATATTATATTTATTAAAATAACATAGTGTAATATAATACATTATGAAATAATACGTAATAATCATCCAAACAGGGTCTAATGAAATATATCCAATAAAAGTATTTCTAGTAAATTCAATCTAGTGAAACAAGTCTAATAACCAATAAGGGTTGTGTTGGGGTGGTAAGTACTCCTTCATTCTTAATCAAGAGGTCTCGAGTTTGAGTTTCCGGCGCAAATCCAAATTTAATTGGATTTCATTGTGGATACCGAACACCTGGCGAGAAAACAAAAAAAATAAGTCTAATCTCAATGTGAGTCGTATACGGTGAACAATTCCATCTTTCTCTTGAATTTTTTATTGTAGTACCTCGTAATATGAGTATGAAAAAGCTAGGTTCAAGAATCAGGTTTTATTTTTTTAGAAAAACTGAACTTACTTAATTTGGTTTCTTTACTAATATAGTGTTGGGTGAATCTCGAAAGATATGAAAAATCTATCTTCAAGTTGTACATAGGACTTTCTTTTTTATTTATACAAAAAAAAATTCTGTAAACAGTCGCATTAGATTACCTCAAAATATGACTTAAAGGTCGGTAAGACATTAGAACATCATTTATAATCAACTTGGGAAATTAGACTTAAGAAATTCTATATAAAAGTAAAAGAGAAAACTTAAGCTAAATTATGAGCTAGCATATTCCATATACAAGGAATATAAATAAAGTTGATTACTCTAACCAAGGATTGCAGTGGAGTGGTAAGTACTCTTTCATTTTTAACCAAGAGGTTTCGAGTATGGAGTTGCCTTTGTCAAAGATTCATGTATTAAAGTTTGAACTTAAAACATCATTTACTGTTGTCAATACGTTTGTCTTAACTCTTTATATATACTTAACTTTTGGCAGGAGAAGTCATGAAGTATTAAGGAAACCGCAGAGAAAAAGAATCTCTCCATGCAAAGCATTTCTAATAAAGCCATCCTTTTTCTTTGAAAAAACATCTATAAAAGGCCCTTTGTATTTCTATCTAATTTGTCAATTCTGTGACACATTTATCCTTCTTTTCTTCACATAAATAAAAGAACATGCCATCGATCCCTCGCGCTCGAGTTATTGTCAATGGAGTCCAGAGAATGAGGACATACCATTACTATTGGTGTAGACATTGTCAAAGATCCATTAGGACAACTTCAGCCAATCCATTTGAAATTTTATGTCCTCATTGTTATGGTCAAGTTTTCTATGAACTTGATGTGACAAGGCCTAGGCTTGTACTTTCTAATGTCACAAGGCTACAACCACAACCTTCCTCCAATTCTCGCCTTCTTGATGCCTTAGCACTCATGGTTGATCCACCAATTAGGCAACAAAACAACGATGGTGATGAAAATCATCGTAGGACTAGACAACGTACTCGTGTCATTCTCCAATTTATTGGCCCTGATGATCAACCTATTAGGCCTGTCTCTCCTGATGAGAACGCGTTTTATTTGCCATCCCTTCAAGAATTGACTCAGAATGACAGGCCAGGGCCACCTCCAACGCCATCTTCAGCAATCGATGCATTGCCAAGAATTTACCTAACACCAAACCTTTTGGAAAATGACTCTGTTTGTCCTGTTTGCAAGGATGAGTTTGAAGTTGGGATAGAAGTTATAGAGTTACCTTGCAAGCATTTTTATCATTCTGAATGCATTGTTCCATGGCTTAGACTCCATAATACTTGTCCCGTTTGTCGGTATCAACTGCAAGGATTCTCAAACAATGAGGACCAAAATGGTTACACTTATGAATTTAATGAACAAGAAGAAGAAGAGGAGAACATACAGAATCCTCTCATTTGGGGTTGGACTCAGCTTACCTCTCTTTGGCCTTTTAGTTTGATGTCAAGTTGGAGACACAGATACTTCAACACTTTTGAGACTACAACTTCTGCTTTTCCTAGAGGTAACATATTGCTAATACTTTATTTACCGAGTTTAACTTATATACACTGACAGGTGACCTTAAGTCATTATAACACGGGATATAAGTCGAGCTATCTGCTACAACATTATTGCTAATACTTTATATTGTTTTTTTGGGCAGGGAGAGCTTGGTGGAATCCTTGGATTTTCTCTTGATAATGGTTCCTTATTTCATTTAATAACAGTACAGAGTAGTTTGCTTTTTTATCATTCTTTGCTTCAATAGGAACTAAACAGGTATGTTGACAAAACTATATATCTTTCTGAATTTGATGGATGGAAATTATCTGAGAATGGGGTCAAAAAGATTCATAAGGTATGCGCCCGTCCTTCCTTCTCAATCAAAAAAATAAGTGAATGAATCTAAATTATATACACATAGGAAACTCGCAAGAACATGATACTTCATACTTATTTTGACCATTAAATATGAAATTAACCCTTTACTAATGGCTTCTAGATTTCAAGAGTGCTATCAAAGTGATGGAATTATTTTCAGCCACAAATATGCATAGAAGAAATGGAGAGAAAGAGAAGGCCCACTATTTCCATGTTCAATGTGACTTTATGGACCAAACTTTCTATTTGCCCTATTGGTCAAAATTATATGTCTATCAAAAACCTCAAACTAAAAATCTAGTATTTTTTTAGAATGATGATGATACCATTAACAAACAAATTCATTTGTTGTGGTAGGTGAAGGAATGATTAACAAATTCCATGTAAAGAAGCTGGTGTTTTAGTAGGACCTGTTTTATATTATATTTCTTTCACTTCAATTTATTTATCTTATTTTTTTATTTTAATCCATTGAAAAAGATGCATCTTCTTTTTTTTCGCTTTGTAGTTTGAACTTTTGTTGTCCTTTTTTTTTTCTTCTTGCAATTTTTTTTTAGCCAAATATCTATTATAAACAGTCTTTTTTACCCCAACAAATCTAGGAGTAATTAGGTATGCCTATATTTTATTTTTCTCAGACTTATATTTAACTTCATTTGTAAAATTACACTGAATATATTATATACTCGAACGTAATTTGTAGGATTATATCAGATATATTATTATTATTATTATATATTTAAAATCATAAAATTAAAGAATATTTTGATATACATATGTAATGTATTCGTTATGTAGGTATCTTTTTTGATCGTTCACTTTTATTGTTATTGTATATGTAGAATGTATTTTATGTATTCGATATGTTCTCCAAATTCAAATATCCTCCCCACCCCCTAACCCCAAAATAAAACTATACCGGATGCATCTGCTATTTATGACAAACTACGAGGGGCGTTCTAGCAATTAACACCGATTTGGCAGTCGTTAAAATATCGGGTATTTGGTTCGGGTTTAGAATTTTTTTTCGGAGCCAAATGGAAATGGCGGGTTGGTCATCCCTTCCATCCAATCCCAAATTTCATCAGATATGGAGTCCCACAACCACCCACATCATCACCAACGCCGCCGCTCTCCGCCTCGGCAACGTCCTCCACCGCCGTCTTCAATCCTCTATCAAGGTACCTTCTTGATCTTGAATTTTTTATATATGAATTAACTCTGAGTTTTCGAATGTTGTGTGCAAATTGATCCAAATGAAAGCAGAAAAAGGAAGAGAACACTGAGAAATTCAAATAACTTGTGCAACAATTAACCTCTTGAATATCTTGATTTCTTTAGTAGGTTAGTTAAGAATCTTGACTGTTCATAAATCTAATTTTGTGAGTGCATAGCATAAATAGACTTCTGGGTTCATACTATAACTCACCTTTCGCACATTTTTTTATTATTATTTTTTGCAATTTTGTAGCAATGGCACTGTTCACACGGTTACTGAAGGATAATTCCTGTATCCTGACATAAATTTGTTTTGAAAGTAATTGAAATTGAAAATCTTTGACCTGTGTCATGTTTGCCAACATGCTGATGTATTGCTTATCAGAATCTTGGAAAAGAGTGACATGAATTCATTAGCAATACTTTGGTCTGTTACAGTCAATAACCATTAGTTGGGGTTGGCTGTATAAATCCTCTATATCCATTTGATGATTCATTATAATTTGATTGTCCATCAACTCTCAGAAACCCTCATCTTTAATGTGGGTCTAAGAAAATGACTGCAAAGATTAAGGGTTGTGAGCGAATGAATTAGGCATCAGTCGTTCTAGTGGGAAGAGTCCTTTGGATGTTGAATGGTCTGGTCAACTTGTCCCGTTTCAGATAGGTAGATTTGCTTTGATGTGTTACATGTCTCCTCATAATAGGAGTATCATGAAATTCTGGAAATGCCAAGATCTTAACCGCCATTTTGCTTGTTGCGCAGCATATTTTTTGTCATGTTCATGGCCCTATATTGAAGGATGCATGGCATAAATGGACCTTTCATGTCACTGGATTCAACATCCTTCAGTGGTCACAGGGTGTCTTCTCTGCCGAAGACATGAGCTTATTATTCTTCAGTGCTGATGAAAGTAGAAGGAAATTCAAAAAGATTCAGAATTCATACTCAAAGTCATCAAGATCATTCTTTTCCAGTGAAAGGAAATGGACCAACATATTCCTTGCACTTAACATATTGTAAGTTTTGCATTCTTAACCAAAACGATGTGAATATTATGATTTTTTTTATCTTCTTTTTTAAAAAAATAATGAATTTTTAGTTTTGGATTAATGTTTATTTAAGTCAATACCTCCCAAGGAAAAATCTCGAATTTGGATCCCAAATTGACGGTTTAGTGTGAGCTTATCATGTGGTTATGTACTCTTTGAATAGGAACCCGTTTTTTGAAAGATCTAGGCTTTAATCTTTTAACCTTAACCCTCTCAGAATGAAGGAAAAACCCTCTTGCAAATGTCTGAAAAAAATAAAAGCAGAAAAAGGAACCTTTCAAGTGATGATGTTGATTGGTATAATGGACAAAGAGCTATTGTTACAAAGAGAAATTAACATTTTCTATTTAAATCACTGCAGGATATATATTGCACAAGTCGCAACAGACGGCAAGCTTTTATTTTGGGGAGCTAAGGTTAGACTGGATTATATATGTAAACAGCCGACTTATCATTTTCCATAATAACAATGTTCTTATGTGTTGATGGATATGTGTTGCAGATTAACAGTCTTATTGACAAAGGGCAACTATGGAGGCTGATTACTTCGTCATTCTTGCATACAAACATAGTGCATCTCATGGTCTGACTTCACTTCATGTTTTCCTGGATTCCTAAATCCATCCCTTATTAATGTTTTGAAGCAGATGTGGCTTCTTTCAGGTTAATTGTTATTCCTTGAATTCGGTTGGGCCTGGTGTTGAAAAAGTTAGTGGCCCTAAAAGATATGTTGCTCTATACTTGACGTCTGCAATTGCAAGTAATGATACATCACCACAATGACATTTTTATCTCAAAGAAAATTCCTATTATACAGTGATTCTAATTGTATCCTATGAAAGAAATCAGGTTCAGCTATGAGTTACTGGCTTAGTAAGGCACCTGCAGTTGGTGCCTCAGGAGCAATTTTTGGATTAGTAAGTGATGCTATTCTTTTGCACTTTTACTGGACTTGCTAATTGGTGTATGCAACTGGGGTTATCATTTCATGCTATTTCATGATTTTCTGCCCCTTGTGTCATCCAACTAATTGATATTTAATTCTTTTCACTTCTGTGGACCTATTATGTATGTAATACTTCGCCACAGACTTTATTAGTGTTACTGGGAAAATTGACTTGCCTTCGAGTTGTATGTAGCTCACGAAAAAGTAGACTTTTAAGATTCAACTATCATTGTACATATTATTTTCTTTGATGAAGTTGTGTTTCTGGCCAATACAAGGAATCCATTGAAGTATGGATCTTTCTGAACAGCTGTTGAGGAAATTAAAGAATTAGACTTACCCCTTTTTCATTTATTAGGTTAAGAAATACTGATCTCCACGTTTTTGTGTCATTACCAGGTTGGATCTTTTGCAGTATTCGTTTTGAGGCATAGGGGCATGGTCAAAGGCACCGAGGGGGATCTTCGATACATAGCAAATGTGATTGTTCTAAATTTGGTAAAACACTTCATTCCCTACCCAGCTCAATGCACTTTTGTTGGCATTCACCAAGCGAGTAATTGGGGCATATCTTATTATTAAGCATATTCTCCAAATTTATATGTTCTTGTGATCTTTAATAGGGTGAAGATGCTATTAGTGGTTTAAGGAATGAAAATTAATCATAAAAACTGCACATATCTGTGCTCAGTACCTGAGAACCATAATACTTACACGTCTATTGATTCATAAGTATCAAGTTTGATCTCTTTTTCGAATTTCAGTCCTAATTCATCTAGTGCTGGCAACCATTTTCCTTGCAGGCAATTGGACTAATGACCAAAGGAATCGACAACTGGGGACATGTTAGTAATATCTAACTTTTCCATCATGTTCTTGATCGGGATGTATTCCCACCAAAGCGCTTGCTTTTTATCACATAACTATTTATGAGCCTGCTTTTTTATTTGTAACGACAATTAATGGCATTGCGAGCTTCTCCCATGTGCATCTTCTCCTCTTTTTGTTGCTGTTTTTAACCTCTGGTGAGAGAAAAGAGAAAAAAAATATCAAGATCATTGCCTGTAATTTTTCACTTTATCCAATTAGTAAGCCATATTTAAGAGCTTTGTTTTCGAGAATGCAAAGTCTCTGTGGTGTCTCATGTTCCGACAAAGGTTTGTTCATCTCGTAAAAGGTGCCTTCCGCTTGTTGTACATTCTGTGAGTTTTAAAATTTTATTTTTTTATATCGAGAAATCTGTCTAGAGCCAATTTAGGACCAACCTCAACCTTCTCTGATGTTTTACCAAATCTGTATTCAGAAAAAAGGAAGTAGTATGGGAAGATAAATCATTGCTCTTCTGGTTACATCTTTTCTCTTTTGTTTCTGATAACTGTGGTGTCCGGACTGGCTTGTGTGTACCTCAACTGGTCACGTCCTTCTCTTCTTCTTTGTACTTCCTCCTCCACCTCTTCTTTTTGTTTTGCTTTTGTTTTTTGTGCCCTTTCACCTTGTTTTAAATGCAGTAGATGTGTTTAATAAGTACATAAACATTGGCATATGTTTGAATGCTTGTCTGATTTTCTAACTCTTTTCTCATTAACATTTCAGCTCGGAGGTTTAATAGGAGGAGCTGCAACATCATGGCTTCTTGGCCCAGCATGGAAGATTCAATCCGTCTCCAGTGAAGGAAGACGAGTTTTTGCTGACACAGCACCAATCTTTTCTCTCATTCCAACTAAAAGGGACAAGTCATAATCCCTACTATTTAACTGCTAGTGTGCCGGTTGACATGACTCAAGCCTTGAGCACCTGCAGTCTTACTGATTTTCCCAATACATTTGCAAATGTGGCATCTATATATTCATACAGTTGTGGTTGATTAATGATCCAGTTCACAAGTCTGCTGTACATAGTTTGCCTTACTTTGTACAGGGAATATGTGACCATAGAACATGTAAAGAGCAAATTAGAGGTCAGGCATCTATTTGCCTCGCGTTCATTAGCTGCTGCTGGTGGCCTGATATGCTGTAGTATTGTCAGATGTTAAGAGGTTCTTGGTAATCTGATTTAGGTGGTGCTTTTGGTGTGTATCTAATGTACCCTTTTATGCACGTCTGGCCCATTGTAGAATAATCCAGTTGATAAATGTTTAAACAATCTATAATTCAAAATCAAGTATTCATAGTTAAATAAAAATGTGGAATAAGTATCCATTTTTCTAGAGTTCTTGAAATCTGT